AATTGAAGAAAAGCGTAACTATAGCCAACAAAAAAATCTAGAACCCATTATTAATAGAAACAAGAAAAGATCTAGGAATTTCTTACATTTTGAATTTTTATCCCTGTGGCATTTTGTACAACACTTTCGATTATTTTTCTTACAATGACACCGATTTGTATTATAATTACCAGAACATTTACAAGTTTCTATCGATTAAAAATTTGTATAAATTCGACTTGCTTGAGTAAGCGGTGTAGGTGTGGGTTTCTGTTAATATACACCGAAACCTAATACTGACCGTCCCCATCCTCAATGACCTTGCTTACACTATTGCTATGTTTTTCTTCAATGTTCATTTCTTTGTTTTAACCTCATTTTTTGATAAAATGCTATTTATTATATCAATAACAACTTAATAATTATGCATTTTAAAGTCAACTAGCTCCATCCAGTTCATTTTAGAACCAACTAGTTGATTTTAATGTCAACTAGTTGTCTTTAAAATTGAAGAGTCAACTAACTCCATCATAGTTGACTTTACAATTTTAAAGGCAACTGGACTTTAGAGTGAACTCCGACATGTATATGTGGAATTCACTTTCATGTAAAATTAGTGGTGATAATGACTTTTTGAGCAAGATCGAAAACTTCACAATATTTTTGAATAAAATAAGTAAAATGATTGATGAGTTAGTTTACCTTGAAAACACTATAGCACATTTTTATGATTTTGCCAACTGCTTCATTAATCTTGAGCCATGAGTAATATTTTTGTTCATGGCCCAGTATATACTTTTACAGACAACATTTTAGTACGAAACATTCATATATATATAAACAAATATTAATTGATTACCAATTTGTATTAGTTTTTAATTCACTAATTAAACAGTGCTCTGTTTTGAGCTTAAAAATAATCTTAACATACAATAAAAAAGTTAGAAAAAAGAATCTAAATTGTGGTTATTACTTCTCAAACTGTAAAAAACGACATCAAACTTTTAATTTTGACAAAATCGTTATATTTTGAAGGGCAACGTTTTCCTTTTTCAGTAGATGCGTTTCCCATCATTATTAGGTTACTATTTTCAAGTGCTTCGTCAATCCAAAATGATTAACTAGAAAAGTACAGAACAAAGGCTGGAAATCGTAACATATATCAATTATTTCTCAAAACCTAGTTTATATGAAATTTTCACACAGCGTCCTTCAATGAATAATAACCTGCTAGTTGAAACAAATTCTAGTCTTTACTCTGCACGACGAACAGAAATGTAGTGATTCGTCCATGATTAACAACAGATGGGCATCCACTAAAAATGCACTGCAGTCATTTCTGATTGAAAAATATTTCTAACATAAAAGCAAAAATATTTATGCTTTTAAAATTATCTGCAGTTCAGGTTTCTAAGCCATTCTTAGAACTATCGGAAGTGCTATAATCACGTCTTCAATAAATTGTTATTAGTGAATATTTTTTAAAAACAGCAGAAATCGACAAACTTTTTTTTATCCGTTAATCAATTCTGTTCGAAAAAAACACGAACCGACTCCATCACTGATAATAATTATTACTATTTGCTTTGATCGTTAACAAAAAAAACATGAGCATTTCCTATACCTTACAAAATCACGTTACACATATGGAAGCGTTCGAGCTCGTATAGAAAAAATTTTAAAGAAATAATGCTAAATTTGATTGGTGAGAATTATGAAATCAGCCTTGGTTAAACAATAATTTATGAATCGCGTTATTGAACGGATGCAATAAAAAAAATACAAGCGTACCGTTCTTCTCCTTATTTGTTTGCAGGCGTACGACATTTCTGCACATGGCATAAGTTTGAGGTTTTTTTTCATTCTACTACATAGGCAATGCGGATGAAGCACATTGTGTTTACACACTTCTATTCGTCTCTTTTCTTTCTCATGGTCAAATGGTGAATAAGAAAATTGCTGCAATCGAAGCAGAAACAGAATGTAAGCTGATGGCTTGTTACAAGAGTAGACTGGCGAAGTGATTTAACTTAATTTGAATACTCTTTTTAGCAATCGTATAGACTCTTGGTCACTTATTGGTGTACACATCCCAGACAAGGCCATCAACATAAGGTACTGCATAGAAAACATATAGTAAATCTTCAAATTTCATGTTATTAATATATCATTTACAATATGTTTACCAATCATTCGTATGCTTGGCAGCCAGTATAACCTTGTAAATATTTGATCTTGGAACATAACCTTGATCAAAGTATATAAGGGAAGTTAAGTATGTATTAGATCTTTTTTCAAAAAACGATCTACCACACTGACTAAGCCAACTGAAGCATACAGTGAATCAGATTCAGCTCTGCAAGTTTTATCCAATATTGTGCTCACATTTTTTATGAGTGCTAAATAGCGCACACGAAAACATAAACATGGATTATCTACGATAGAAAAATAAAAATAAAATACTATTTTCTCGGGAATTGGACGTTGTCTTCCGTTTCTCCCAGGTTGAACATAATGACGATCAGAAATGATCGCATACGATGTCGTGAACGAATGTACATGTCGAACACACTGCCGTAACACGGTACCGAGGGATGTCACATTTAAATTTAAATTTGATTGTTTGAAATTCAAATTAGTTAAATTTTAAAATTAGTAGATAAACATAGTTTTTGACTTGATTGTTATTATTTCAAGTCAAAGTTGAGTATGCTTCTTGTTTTTTAAAGTTAAAACTAGCCATTCATCTACAAATTGTGTTATTAAATATATTTTTTTATGAGTATCCCGGTATTTTGAAGAAGAAAGATGATGGACTCTGCATAATCTGTAGAAAAATTCTGATTATTGTGAATAAATATTAACCTAAAATACTAGGTTCTCCTTTCATTTAGTAGCTACTACTGTTAAAGCCACGTATTTTCCTCATAGTAATGATGAGTATCGATCCAAACAATTTATTAAATTTAAAATTTAAATGATTTTTCAGCCCAAAAATTTAATTTAAATTTAAATTACCTTTTCGAAAAGTTAAATTTAAAATTTAAATGATTTTTCAGCCCAAAAATTTAATTTAAATTTAAATTACCTTTTCGAAAAGTTAAATTTAAATAAAATAAACTGTAAATTAACATTCCTAACGGTACCAAACCTCAACGATGATTGTCGTTCCTTCAATGTTACCCGTCGTATACGATCGTATGTTGGAAAACAAAAACTAGCATATTCATTGACTCTATATCATTCCAAGTCATTCTCCAAAACGTCACTCTCATATTACTTTACTCAGCTTAGATCCTTTGTATCAAGATTACCATTCGATTTTCCAGCTACTTTAAAAAAAGAAATAAGAGTAAGAGTTTTTTTTTATTCTATTTGAGTTTTGGTAATTTCTTTGCGATTTCTGCTGATTTTGCGAAATAGAAAGATATAATTACGTAGACGTTTTCTGATACTTTTGCATGAATGTTTAGAACATTAGGGGCATCAGACTTTGGATTATTCCAAAGAATAAAAAACCACGAAAAAAATGAGAGTATACTACTCATACTGAAAATTACCGTGGTTTGTGATCCGGAATTGTTCGACTCTTATAAGTAAATAAGATGGAAAACGGCAATCATCTGTTGAATCATTTGCGACGGCTGTAATTCATCGTGGATGATAGGTGCGTAGCTTGTACGATCGAGAATGATCGACCTGGGCTGTTAAGTGTAGCTTCATTCAATAATTCATATTTCATTATGATTATTTTTCGAGTATAAATATTATAATTGAATGAGAATATGAGTTTTCTCTTCATGCATCCACATCCATTGGTTAATTCGTCTATCAATTAATCTGATCACATTCACAAATGTTCAAATGCATTGCAGTTTATATATATATATATATATGATTCAAACACATATCCCGAATTCGATAGGGTCAGCAACCTTTTAGGATGGCGAACATTTTGATGTAAATTGTTAAGGAAAATATTCGATCAAGAAACTCTTTTACAAAAAGATCCAACTATCTCGTAAACAGTTGCAAATATTATAGAGAACAGTGAATACTGTATACGATCAGACACTGTCGCTCAGCAAATAAATGCGTAGCAGCAATCGATGGCACCTTAGAAATTTCCATTAATAAGATGTTATTTTCACTTAACTGATTCAATGCGTAGAGCGAATCACTGGATAAAATTTTTTTATGCTTTTCCCCTATAGCTATAGTAGAAAATCAATGCCTCTGTTTTCCAATGCACAAAAGTATACATTAAATAGTATAATTTATTGTACACGCCAGCTTTTGTTCAGAAATCGATTCATACGCTCAACTAAGCACTACCGCGAGTGGAAAACATATTTTAGTCGCGAGCAATGGATCTGTAAGCTGTCTTCCCTGGCGACAAACTATGCTGCACTATCACCATGTTTTTATCGAATATTCTTTAGATCTTTTCGGTCGCAAATGGAACACGCGCCATTGAGTGCGTTTCCCACTAGTTAGTTGTGAGCCGTTAGGTTAATCTGGTACTCCAATGATTTTAGCATCATCTGCGCGATACGCAATTTTTTACGCGAACCATCAGGACCACATTGAACACAAGAGACACCTTACTCCAGTTTTCATTGGCTATACGGTCGTCAAACTTTTCGGTTGCGGGTTTTTTTTTCTGTCTTAGTCGAAACTCTCGCGTCTCAGTTCTATCATATGTCAAGCTGTTAATAGATCTGGAATAACATAGGATCGGATTGTAGAGGTTATTGAATGTCGAGACACGAGAAAAATTTATAGTGAAACTTTCCAAGATCGACTACAACCATTAGTCTTGTTTTTGTCACCATACTTGCTTATAAATATGTCAAAACTGTATTTTGCTATACTAACTTTAACATTTAATTAATATGTATGTGTTGTACACGAATAGGTCATTCAACATCTTCAAACAAGTGAAAAACATATATTCTTCATTGCCATAGTTGTTGATTCGCCGCACTCAAAGTTCTAAGTAAAACGGATCAACAACATCGATGAGTGTTGTTTCTAGTATAGCGTTACTTATTTCTGTTGAATTTCTCGTGGTCTTAAGCCAATCATCTCAGGGTGATATTGCAGATTTGTTCGTAAGTTTTCTATTTTTGAAGACAGCTGATCTACTCATTTTCGTTTCTTCTAGTATGATGTTAATTTTAATGGACCGCTCTTCAATCAACCTGTTTACACTGTCACTACATCCAATTTTACTATCGCGTCGCCAATTAACACAACCCTATTTATATTCAATCTACAACCACAATCGATATTTACATTGCCCAGCTATGTGCTAGCGGCACGTTCACTAAATAGTATAGCCGAAATCGGTGTAACTTTGAGTGATTCAACTTTCCGTGCTGATTTCATATCGAATTTCACATATAGAGTTGTCAATAAAATCTCGTGAGTAGAATCCATTGTCCATTCTGTTTTTTTTTGTAAATATCGGTTAATAGTGATTTCCTGATTAATTGAAACGATCTAGAGTCGGTTAAGGTAATGGTCAGATTTTCACAAGGGATATTCTTTAATAAAGCATACCTCACTCGAGACAGTTTCTTATATTGATTTCGAATATCGTGTCCCTTTTTTCTATCCTTATTATGAATAAAATGAAGTAAAAATTATGTATTAGAAGACATGGGTCCTCCAATGTGAGGATACTTAAGAAAGCTAGTGTAAAAGTCAGGCACACATTCAGAAGTTTTCTGATATCTTTGTTTAGGTCGCAGGCTATACTATGACTCTCTTAAGCCGTGCTCTCTGAAGTATCTCTAAAGGGAGAATATTAGTTATTTTTCTTAGAAAAACATTTCTTCATTTGCGTCTATATGATTATGAAGTTCTTACTTGTTTGTGCTCTTAGTCCACTCAACTACTTTTCACCGTACCATCGTTACGTTTTTTACATAACCGCTACACAGTTTTTTCCCAATCGTCCATCAACATCATCAACGGCCATTGCACAAATTGATCTTGTGAATTGTAATGTCTATGCTCCACTTTTCATTATCGCCAATCCAACATTTTCAATCAGTGAAGCGGCCTCTGTTGGCACACAATTCGGTACTGTTTTTGCTACCGATGCAGATAACGATTCGATCACGTTCTCAATAAGCCCACCACCGATACAATTCTCCATTGATCAATACACGGGCGTACTCAGACTGGATCAAGCGCTTCAAACTATTACATCGATTCCATTAATATTCAATGTCACTGCCACCGATGATGCTTCGTCGTGTTCACCAACTTGTTCCAATTGTGGGCAACTATCATCAACAACAACGATTACAATTGCTATACAAACAACGAATACACAGGCGCCAAGATTTTTGAATCAACTTTGCGGTTCGACTTTTTCACTTTTAGAAACTTCTCAATCAGGTACGAACATAACAACTGTTGCAGCGGTCGATAACGACCTAGGTAATAGCGGTCAAATAGTGTTCTACTTTCCTTCGATACAAACGCAAACGATAGGTAGTCGCGACCATAGAGAAAAAACTGCATCATCATATTTACTCTGTCTATTTTCGAAGCTGTCGGTTCAAGTATTACAGCCTATTCAAAGTTTCAACTATTGCAATACAATCAAACGAACAACATCCGAATAGCTCAACTCCAAACAAGTGAAACATTCAGTTATAGTAAACCTGGTGAGCATATCAAAAAAGAAAGTAAATTCTTTTTCTCAATCATGATTTAGGTACAACTCGCGTGTGGTACCTATCAATACTGGCCACTGATCTTGGTACACCATCACTTCAATGTAATTCAAATTCTCAACAGATTGATTATATTAATCATGATGCTGTCTCCTTCTTTTTAGCAATCTGCACAGTGCGTATCAATTTAATCGAGGCCAATATATATGCACCAGGTAGATGATTTCAAACCTAGACAACATATTTCTTTTACGAATTGATATTAGTTTTTACCATAACGAAATGGAACATCACGATCTATAATGCTAGTAATCCAGCTTTGATCCGCATAGTTGCCTATGATGCTGATTTAGGTACAAGTGGTATAGTGGATTATTACATAGGCACGCTTAATGTACCGTATTTTACAATTAATAAAACAACGGGCGCTATCATATATCAAGCCGGTGTGACATTTTCCAACTTAAATAGTACTCTTTTTCCTGTTCAATTTACTGTTTTTGCTCAAGATCGTGGTATTCCACCACGAATAAGTCCAGCTAATGCAACAATAACCTTATATTTGGACACTAGCAATGCTATCTATCCCGCCGTTTGGCTCAATCCGACTAGTGGAGAACTCAATATCGGTATAAGTGAAGAATTCTTCGCAATGTACCCAATGCGACCGGTGTTTGATAATAATAGAAATTTCAACGGCTCGATTATTTATCAATTAAACCTACAATCACCATCTCTGATGATTGTATCGAATCTTTTTCCAGGTACAAACACGCCGTTTAGTGCGATCACTCCAACAACAAATAATAACATTTTTACAAGTGGTATTTCTGTCACCAGGTAAGTCATTATAACCATCTCGAAAGGAAAAACTGAATTTCCTTCAACTTTTAAGTACTCTCGATGCTGAAATTCAAGATTCTTACTTACTTCAACTTTTTATAAATACTAATCCATCACTTTCCGGTTGGACAAAAATTACTCTCAGTGATGAAAACAACAAAATACCGACATTTAGCTTTAGTACATTAGATATGAATATTCTCGGAGATCAAGTCGGTCTACGAGCAATCGCACAAATACCAGCGTTCGATCGTGACTTGACCAGTCCGAATAACTTCGTTCAATATTCTATAAATCAAGCTTTGAATGGTGCGATGATAATCAATCAGTTTTTTATTGATAACTCTGCCACTATTTGGACGAATTCTACCTTCGCTCTACAAAATCAATCAAGTTATCGAATTATAATTACTGCATATGATGGGGCACCTGCGTGGAGTTTAACATCGAATGGATCGAGCAATACGCAAAATTTTCAACTCAACTTATTTATTGTTGGGAACAATAATAATTCGCCAAGTTTGTTGATGATAGCGATAGATAAATATAAATATTCTTATTTTCTGTTATAGATTTCAACCAAACTGTGCCAATAAATATTTCTATCATTGAAACAACAGCAAATGGAACGGGTATTTTGAATCTTACTGTATATGATCTCGATGTAACCACAGTTTTAAATATTGGTATTCTAAGTGGAAATACGAAAAATGCCTTTTTATTTGAAATGATCTTAGACAATAGTGACGATCCGTATCGTACAGAATATCAGGCTATATGTCAACTTTCTGTAGTCTCTGCACTTGACTATGAGAATATAAACCTATATACACTTGTGTTATTCGCTTTCGATTCGAACAATCTAGCCACAATCAATATTAATGTCAATCTATTGCCGAACAATTCCAAAGCACCTGTTTTCAATCTTCAGCCAGGCACCTTATCCTACCAATATGTTGTCAAGGAAAATCAGGTTGTACCAGTCCTAAACGGAAACAGTGTATGTGTTTTCATGTTTCTTTCTCACTTTAAAAAAAAAAGTATACATGTATCTATCGCTTAGATTGTAGCCAATGATATCAATATACCTGCAACGCCGCTTGTGTTTTCTATTATTTCTACTGGACAGGAGAGCCTCACCAGTTTATATTTGAATCAGTCTAATAATACAGTTACAATCGGTATCGGATCGCCTGGGCTCGTTCGTGATCCACCATTCGGCTATTCAATATATAACTTTTCAATAAGAGCCACCGATCAGAATGGTACTGGTGTGTCGACCTATGTGCCAGTGTCTATCTCTGTTTTGGATATTAATAACAACGAACCCATCCCAACAGTAGGTCTTTTTTTGTATGCGTTGCTTTCATTATTTTCATTGTAATTCAGAATTGGCCATGGATCATGAATGAGGGTATTCTCAATGTGAGTATTTTGATGATCTTCACAGATTTTGATGATTATGCATTCAACAATACAGTACCATTTACTGTTCAAGTAATAAGTCCACCTCAATTTACGCTTATACCAACATTAAGTTTCAACGGTACATGTACACTTCAGTACAATGGTATTTTGAGTCGCAGTGTAGCGAAAAATGTGACAGTGACGATGATGGGAACTGATGTGAAACAATTTTCAGTGAATATTTCGATACCTATCATTGTCGGTGACGTTCCAAACAATGATCCAATATCAGATGGTTCGAAAACGATCACTATCATCTATGTTAATAATTATCAAGAATCATTACAATCGGTCAATCTGGGCTCTGTCTATGTTGTCAATTCGAATGATTGGTTTCTTGCTGCGAACGGGTACTCAGTGTTGGATGTGAGTAACGGGCAGACATTCAATGTTTCTCAAGGATTTCTTAGCACGCCTACTTTGCTCTATCCCGGTTCTTATACAGTTCATATTCAAGTGAAAAAGAATCTCGTTTCTGGTCAATCAGCAGCCATAAGTACTATCAATATCGGAGTTACAAGCATCGATAGCGAATTCGTTCGACAAGCATCTACTATTCGTATTCAGGGAGAAACGCCTGAATCACTTATCGACCCGACATTGGGCAATAGACTTGGCACTCTACTTAATGCCCTCGCTTCCATTCTTGGCGTTTCCTCAAACTCAATTAACATACTTGCCATTCGACCTGTACTTCAATATCGAAATCCGATCTATCCTCCGTTACCATTTGATCAAGCGAAACAAGCGGCACTAACGGATGTTGTCTTCTACCTGACATCATTAACTAAAGAGGCAATTGAAAATACAATTGATAACAATCTTAGCCTGTTCTCTTCAAGTTTTGGTATTACAGCTACTGCAAGTGGACCCAATCTCTGTATTAATTATGTTTGCCCGTTCGGTACAATCTGCCGTTTAAGTCGCTCTATAATGTCATTGCCTTCCACAATCGATACCAACTTGACTTCATTCGTCGGCATTAACATAATCGATTCACCTGATTGTGTTAATGCAACATGGACTACCAATCCACCGAGTAGTATCCCGTCGAATTGTATAACTTATTCGTTTAACAATTCCACATACTGCCCATGCACTAGTTTACAATTCCTAGCACCTCTTGGACCTTATTGCGAAGTACTTGGTGCAACATTCAGTAGTAGTGGTGGAAGTTATGCTGTATTTGACGGAACGAAGTTTTCAAATTTGGCACCAGCTCGATTTTCGTTCGATTTTACTATTCCAGACTCTTCTACTATTGGTGTCATTCTACTCTGCGGTCTAGATACATCACCGATTAGTGATTACTTTTGGATAGCCGTCGAAATAGTCAGTACTCGTAGGTTGAGATTTCACTTTCGTGATGACACTCTTACATTTGATACTGTAATAATGATCAATGCATCGATATGGTATCACATCGAATATCAAGTAGGACTTGTTGCATTGTTATTATCCTGTAATTTGTATGCTTTTCTCTACTACGCCTAGTACGTCGATTCGACAATATTGATCATGGTCAATGATGAACAATATGTTGTCACTGTTAATAACAATTCAATTAATATAAATAATCAATCGCTTGCTCAACTTTATCTCGGTGGTTTACCAATGATGAATTCATTGATTGCTGCGCTGTATCCAACCTTGTCGAGTGTCAATACATTTCGTGGATGTATTCGAAATGTTCTATCTAATGGATTCTATCTTGATATGAATAATCCATTGGCATCAAGTAATTCAAATTCAGGTCCTTGCAATTGTTCAATCACAAATTCATGTACGACAACTTCGTCAGCTGCCACCGGGATCATTGTACCCTGGTACGTTTGGCTGATCATTGCCCTTGTCCTACTTCTGATTGGCATGATGCTGCTAGTAGCTGTTCTTATATGTTTTCGACATCGTCGATTAAGGAAGGCACGAGCTGACGCTTATATGAGCAATATACAAAACGATCGAATCAACGACAAGTAAGATCTAAGCCAGTATTATACAAAAAAGATCTTTTTTAATGTTATTTCAGGGACACATCTGGCGAAGAAGATAATTTATCGTACAATCTAAGTATACTGAAAAAACCTATTTATACACTGTCCGATGGAGACATTAATAGCTCAATATGGACAACGAGTCACGGAGGTTTATAATTGCTTTTTTTTGCTACCATTTTCCTAACAATTAATTTCCTTTTATAGACCGTGTCAACTCATTTGCAAGGGCACCGTTCAATGAATATGTGAATAGAAAATTAAGTGAACAACTGTCGATTTCACTTGCAGACGATACACAGAAGTATTATGCAGATGAGGGGGACAACACGCTGACTTACGATCTAAGTTCTATTAATTCTAGTGAACGTTGAATATTATTTCATTGTCTCGTGGATGTAGATAGAAAAACTTTATTTACGATAAAAAATAGTTTTCAATTTGATGATCATTTTTCAGATTATGATGTAGGATGTAGGTGTGGGTGTGGGTGTGGATGCGGGTGCGGGTGCGAGTGCGGGTGTGGATAAATGTAAAACCATACCCCACACTCTTTTAGGGACGAGATTTGAAACAAAGAGAAAAAGAATGATGAACAACTTACCTCAAGTGAAAGGAAAGAAGATGATGCTTTAGAACAGAGGCAATTCTTGAGGGTGTGGGTATGGGTGTGCTTTTACATTTATCCACACCCACACCCTAGACAAAAGAAAGTTCCTTGGCATTGCTACTGTAAGAAACTTGATGAAATAAAACAATTAATATGAGTCAATGTTTTTCGATCTTTCCCATACCACGAACCTGAGTGAATTTGAAGTGTGCTTTGGAATAACAACCTGATTATTTCTCGCAATGCGATAGAAAATGCTTGTTGTATTTTTCGAACGTTATTTCAAGGAATGAGTGCAGCTTCACTGAATCTTGTTTTCGCCGACATCAACTTCGCTGAATGAAAATTTCAACTGGAAAAATCGAATTTTATCCGAACTAACTAGTTTAATAGTGGCTCAATTAATTAACCACATCTGAGTGCGAACCATCTGACTTGGCAACGAACACGCTCACACCCACACCCTTACGGAAATCTTTAATGATTATTTTTATTATCATCGTTATTACAACTATACATTAAGAAAATATATAAGTTGCACAATTTAAATGCACGAATACAACTTGTCGTCATTATCAAGGTGAATTTACATGTGTGTCATTTATACTCTTTTCATGCGTTAGAAAACATCAACAAACGACGACTACAGATCAAACGAAAGGCGAAAATTATGTGATTATAGGCTTTCGTATCGAATTGCTTGCGCGTATCGTGTTAATATAGGTTAGGTGATCAATGTATGCTTATTCTTTTATTTTCATACATTTATTATTATTTATTTCTCCAAGTGTAAGACGAAAATAAAAGTGTGCTGTTCGATTTTTTTTTATACTTAGGTCTGGTCAAAAGCTCGTGTATCGTTAAATAAAAATGAGACATGACCCTATTCTAAAATAAATATATATGAATTGATGTGATATTAGTATAGATGGAATTTTGGAATTTTAGAATAAGGCCACTGCTGCAAACAAAACAGCTACCCTGATTATTAATTTGAAATGGACATTAGTACCAAATTTTCAAATAATATGAAAAAAATATTCATTTAACAATTTGATTTTTATAGCAAAATATTTTTTTCTTCTTTATTTTTATTAATTTAATTTTGAGAGCAACAAATTTATCTGTATTTTTAAATCTGTGATGTTAAAAAAATTGGCTTCTTCTACTCAAATTAATATGAGTACTAAATGGACACAATACGGCTTTACTGTTGCTGGAGGAAATGAACCAGGTACTCAATTGAATCGACTCTTTTGGCCTCATGCTATCTATGTTGATAATGATGATGATCAAACGATATATATTGCTGACTATGAGAATAATCGTGTTGTTAAATGGACATCTAATGCAAATAGTGGTCAAATTGTTGCAGGTAAAAACGGATATGGATATAGAAATGATCAATGTAATCAACCGACAGACGTAATTGTTGATAAAAAAAACGAATTCTATGATCATTTGTGATTGGGGAAACAAACGAGTTGTACGATGGCCTTGTGAAAATGCTGAAAATGGACAAACAATCATTTCTAACATTGACTGTTCTGGCCTAGCAATGGATAATAATGGAAATCTTTATGTCTCTGATTATAAAAAAGGTGAAGTGAGACGGTGGGAAAAGGAAGAAACAAATGGAAAACTAGTAGCAGGTGGAAACGGACGCGGAAACCATCTTAATCAGCTCAATGGGCCTACGTATATCTTCGTTGATCAAGATTACTCCGTATATGTATCGGACAATAATAATCATCGTGTAATGAAATGGGTGAAAGGTGCAAAACAAGGCATTGTCGTGGCTGGTGGACAAGGTCTAGGAAATAGTTTAGCACAATTGTCTAATCCTCATGGCGTGATTGTCGATCATTTGGATAATGTTTATGTGGCTGACTTTGGGAATAATCGAATAATGCGTTGGTCAAAAGGATCTAAAAAAGGAAGTATTATTGTTGGTGGAGATGAACAAGGACACCAACAAAATCAATTCAGTGGTCCCATAGGTTTATCATTTGATCGAGAAAATAATCTTTATGTCGTCGATCATTGGAATAACCGAATACAAAAATTCCATGTTGATTTAACTTGGCATTCTCTTTCTTTGTGATAAATGTGGAATTGTTGTTACATAATTGTGTTTCTATGATAGTTTGTTTTTCTGAAGTTTCTGTTTAGAAAATGAGAGTGTGTGTCGTTGGGGTATGGATGCGAGTCTTTCCTTCACCCACACTTACACCTCTTCAGTCAACATCCAATCGATCGTTCAGCATGCAGTTTTGGTAAAAGTTGATGATAACAAAACCGGTTAGAGTGTGTAAGTTACAGTCAAACTTTTTAAATACTCTTTTAAAGTTTCCGCAAAAATATGAAAACATGAACCTATCTTTTCAAGTTGATCTTACCTAAATGTATTTCGAATAAAATGCTCCAATTTGCCGAACGTACAGTGAGCAGCACACGGAAAAATTAGAATGGAGATGTGTGTATATAGTAGGATTAAATTTAAGATCGTGTTACGAAACTAATAAATTTAAAAAAAAAATAACGTGCCTATAGCGAATCCGGGTGGAGATAATCGATTTTCAAGTTATGTACAGCTTACGTAGGCTATGCGTTGAATCAATATTTAAAACAGAAAAGCATTATAGAGATAGGTGTGAATCAAATAGATAGTAACAGGAGCTAGAGTAGACAGACGAAGAGTTCTATACACTAGATCTAATCATTATTAACAGAGGGTAGTGTTACTTTCAGAAACTACTCACTTTTCGATTGAACAGAGAAAGTTTGAAGAAATGCTTCAACTCAATAGTCGTGATTTTGAAACGGCTACAATTGAAAAACTCAGATATAATAGTAACCAGACATCAGACGTCAAAGTCATAGCAACACATCTCGTTATTCGAAAGCCATTTTGTAACTTAGGATCATTAATGCAATTCCTCAGATAATGCGCCGTCAACTCTAACATTATAGTTTTAAAAAAGATCGAAATACGACGCAGTATGCTTGAAACACCTTCATTCTCATAAATACGTTTTAGGGCGTGGGTGTGAGTGTCACAAAAAAAGATCCCTATCCAAACCGACGCTCACACATCCACCCCCACACCCAACAGAAACTGAAGGTTACAGTTACATCGGTAGCATTCATGTGTTTCGTAGAATGCAGGTGATTCCTGTTTTATTAAAAACCTGAGTAGGGATGAAATTAAAATTATCCCTTTTCTCGTCTCTTTCACTTTAACTCTTTATTCAGACATCTATGTGTCTTATAGCTTCTTTTTCGCTTCTCGGCAATTATTGATTTTTCTCTTTCCTAAAGAAAACATTTTTTAGAATCATAGATTCATAAAGGCAAGTAGCACAACAAATTTTTAAATCATGTGTTGTTTTTACATAGCAATCGATGTTATTGTTATGATTTCTCAACATGCAGAGAATATTATGGTTCGAAACAATCCCTCAGATACCAATAAAATTTTGTTATTATAACCAAATTAATAAAAAAAATGAATATAACAAAATATACATTGTTGATATATTTTGCATGCTCGTGTGAACTGTCTCTTCAACAGGGTTGAGTTTATATCCAGTATAAAAAGCAAGATTTTTATGGTATCACCATCAGTTTAGTCGTTCTCATCTATTACAGATCGTTAGCATTATCTATAATGATTTTACTAAAAACATGAGTATGAATAGATAAAGATTCAGATGTTCTTAACATATCTGTCAACTGGAAGTAGTAGATTCATACTATTGTAGAATGATAAGAAAAAAACGCTATCAAGAAAAATCCGAATGTTTCACCTTTTCTGTTAATGGCACAGTTTGATTTGTTTCTGCTATACTTCATACATATTTAATAATAATAATAGCTCCCATAGGCTTATCGCCCGTTGGGAGCCAGCGCTAGGGTCCACTTGCGCTAGTTTCTTTCGTCTTTTTCTTTTTACGGACGACGGTATCTGCACTCCTTTCCGTCCAACGCTTCTCCCATAAGGGTTGGCGATCATCATAAATTTCACGTGATTGTGACATCTATGATGGGATTGTTTTTGATTTTGTATATTGACTAGCTATGCAATCAATACACTATCGGATGAGTCATCCGAGACAAGTAGCCGTTAGTGATTTGTCCAGGGTCATTACATAACTGGTGATACTGAGGTTTGAACCCACTATATTGTGAATATGTGTCGAACAATATATCCACTCACTCATGTCGGCTATATATATATATATATATGTCGTAGGATAGATTAAAATCCAGTACAGTTTTTAATCGAACTAGGACAGATTAAAATTTTAATTTTTCCTAGTTCAGATTAAAATTTTAAAGTGAACTAGTTGACTTCGAAATGCATTTTAATCTCAACTAGTTGACTTTAAAATTTTGATCTGAACTAGGA